GAATCCTAACTTTCTCACTACTGGCTCTGTAACCTTCGACAGGTACTCAGCCTTGTTTTGCCTCAGTTTTCTCATCTGTGAAACGGGGATGCAAATAGTATCCATGCCATAGGGTGGTTCTGAGATTTAGGTTAATTAATGCAAAGCACTTAGAATGGTGTCTGGCATATAACATTAGTCACTGAGATAACGTGCACACACACTCTGGCTCCTGTCATTCAAATGTTGATACTAGCAACATTTTATTAATAGCAATCACTTTTAATCTTTATGCCTGTCCTTTAACAGTGAAATGATCATGAAACTGCATATTGATGATCCTCATTCCCTTGGGAACCAAAATGTACTCAATATATTTTATTATTAAGTTACTGAATTCTTGTTTCTGAACATCAGTAGTAATTTGTTAATTCTCAATTACTGTCTACAAAATTGATTATTCACAATACTTCATTCCTGGATAAGCACGAGACCCCAGAGCGATTTATTACCATAACTGCCTCATTGGCCAATACGAGACAGCTACGAGGTTTGAAAAATTCTGTCCTCCTTTCTTTCCGAGGGTCAAGGCATTTTACCTCTCTCTTATGAATAAAAATATTTAAAAGTCGGGAATACTGATTGTAAAACTGCACTGACAACCCACAGGAGTGACTATGTAGGCTTTAGTGAAAATGATGTCTGAATCCGATTAAATGCCTATGTTAACTGTTCTCATCACTGTGTTATATCCTCTGCTTCCATTTTACAATAAAACCCAAGATGATTTCAGTTGTAAAACAGTTTGTAAAGTGACTGTATTTTCTAAAACAGTGATTTGCTTCTTCTAAATTTTTATTTAAACCTGTACACATCCCCCTTACCAATAAAGCATCATGCACACAGTGCTTTCCAAGGTATATATAGCAGGTACAGAAATTCTAGTACATCTCTTGTCACTATTAGTTTCAATTTTTCCTAAAAAGACCAGAAAATGGGAAAAATGATGGGAGTCCAATTTTTCAGTTTTAAGTACGTATGTAATATTAAAAACACATGGGTACTTCACCTCTTCACTAAAACTCCTTTCATTTCCAAGATCAAGTGAGCAACTGAGGCTAATCTAGTCATAACATGAATGAGGTATTTATGAAACTGGGCAGCCTACCTCTGTATTTTTTTATAGTCATGAAGCAGAAACACAATCATATGACTCTGGGGTTTACTATGGATTAATGCATGCTACAAACAAATTAAGAACTTCATAATCCTGTGACAAGCAAAGAGTCTGAGGGGAAGTGGAAAGGAGGCAGAGAAGTGTGCAGTCAAGCTGAGAAAATGCTAACATTTCACAGTATTAAGTTTAGAACCAGTTGCACTCCCTTTCTTGAAGTAAGTTACACTTAGCTCTAGAAAAATTATTTATGATTTGGCACTCCTACAACACTTTCTATGGCGGCTTTATGAAAAGACTGTTACTTATTAAAATGAAAACAAAATTAAAATGAATAAATTTTGAAAAATATGTATTTTGAAACAAATTGCAAATGTGAGTCTCCCTAGAAACACAAAACAGGCAAAATACTTTTTGTATAGACAAAAAGTCCCCCCAAATGGACAGACGTTCGAGATCTTTTTGCAGATGGAAAAAATAAGGCTCATTGTCCAAATGCCTTGTGCAAACATAGGAATAAAAAAAAAAGGGTAACTTTTCTTGTTATATAGGACTTATAGCAGAGATTTCTAGGTCTCATCCCCAAGTTCACGTAACCAGCTAATAGACTACATTTACTATCCTTCCTTGCTAACAGGTGTGACCAGGTAACTATGTTCTAGCCAATGAGACGTAAGTAGAATTGAAATGTGGAGTGCAGCTTCCAGGAAGTCTTTTAAAAGGGGAGGAATGCATTCTTTTTTGCCTCTTTTTCCTTTCTGCAGCCTGAAAAGCTGATGAAATGCATGAATCTTCAGCAGCTATCTGGCCAAGGGGTAGAAGCCAGTGGCTAAGGGATGATGGAACAGAAACAAAGGACCTGGGCTCCTACTGACATCCTGAGGCCACTGTATCAACCCTGGACTACACTGGCCTTCCTTTACATAAGAGAAAAATAATCTTATTTAAGTCACTGCAATTTTGATTCTTTTGGGTATATGCAGCAGAACCTAACCCTATTCTAAATCCTAATTCCATCTGAAGGAGCATTAACTATCAGATCATACTTCTATTGGGGAATGAAACTTAACAAAATAGGATGGTAATTTAAAGTTCTAATTAGTAATAATCATGAAGTTTTCTCATACAAACTACGTAATGATAACTTGCAAAAGCTTTCATTGTAGACTGACAACAAAGGCTCAATAAATACCAATGTTGAAGAAGGTGATCAAGTTTTAAAGGTTTTCTACAAATTAGTGTTTCCCAAAATAATATAATTTTGGACAAGTTAGCAACAAGATATTTATAAAAATATGACACTAAATTTGGTGAACAAAGTTAAAGAAATGGAATCCTTGGGCGCCTGAGTGGCTCATTTGGTTAAGCGACTGCCTTCGGCTCAGGTCATGATCCTGGAGTCCCGGGATCGAGTCCCGCATCGGGCTCCCTGCTCGGCAGGGAGTCTGCTTCTCCCTCTGACCCTCTTCCCTCTCGTGCTCTCTATCTCTCATTCTCTCTCTCTCAAATAAATAAATAAAATCTTTAAAAAAAAAAAAGAAATGGAATCCTTATTTTCTAAAAGGTATCACTCTTTGGAAGATAATATGGGGAACACACAGTAACATACAAATCTACACATAATTATGTAAACACCGCTTTGACACACAACAGCAAGTATTTTTATTGTGTTAAAGTGTTTATGAATGCATTTTCTGGCAATAAAATTGCAATAATAAAGACACCATACTTGGTAAGATACAATAATGGGAAGAAAAGATACTGACATGATTTTATGTGTCAAATTAGCTTAGTTTCTTATGAAACTTTAGTTTCATGCTATTTAGACTGTCTACACACTGGCAGGGGAAGAAAAGCATTTTACTTATGAAAACATTGGAGGAGACAGTCCATTTTATGTGGGAATAATGGCTTTTTAACAGAGCTCAATTAAGAGACATCAGGACCCCTGCCTCAAAAGCCATTAGCAAATCTATCTGGCAGATTTTATGCTACATCATAAAACAATCTAAACTGCTTAGTATGCCAATTTGCCTAAGACACTTGCCATAGAAACTGCTTTCAGGAGCCAGCAGTAAGTTTCATAAATACTTAAAGATAAAAAATCGAAGGATACTGGCATTCAAAGGAGATGACACTGTTAACTCATATTGCCAAAAAATTTATAAACACACTTGCATTTTGCTTTGGAGTCAAATTTCTTTTCCATTTCCATTTCTATTTTACCTTTAGTTTCTCAAATAGCCCTGGCAGTAGAGGGACCGATTGATGGTTTTCCCTAACATTGTCAAACTATTAATTCAAAACTGAAGTCAATCTCCACTTCTTTTCCCCCTAAAGCAAGGTACCTTATAATATGTAATAATATAAGCTCACCTGAATGAGTGAATAGGATAGAGGTTTAATTCATTCTTTTTATAGACAGGGAATTAAATCTAGCCATCTGTCTCAGTATCTTTTTTTTTTTTTTTTTGCCAGGAATAACAAAATAATAAAAACTCCTATTAGGAAAAGATCTACAAGTCTGGGCTTTAAACAATGTGGGAATCAAGAGGAAAGCTAAAAATAACCATGCATTGTACCTGTCCTATTTTGTTCCAATTCTCATAATTTTAAATAGAGAATAGTAATGTTCATTTAAATGTTAACTGTTGTTATAACTTCCTTCTTGAAGCAAAATACTTTCACATTTATTCTCATCTTTAACACATCATGTGTTAAGTTTCTAAAATCACCCCAAATCATAAAACTAAGCTAAGAGGGAGGGCCCAACATTAACTAGTCCATTCCTCTTATTTTATAAAATACTGACTTTAAACATCCCCGAGAGTATAATTTTATTCTGATTTTTATCTGCCTTCCTGTCTTCATAAGGACAGAATCACTTGCCATTACCAAAAGGTTTGCTTTTAGTAAATTCCTGCCAGAGAAAAGCTCTCCAAGTGCAGTCCATAGAAGACTATCTACATCAGGACCACTGAGGCTTGCAAAATGCATATTCCTGGGCCTTGCTCAAGATCTATGACACTGATTATCTCCACTGTGAGGCTCAGGAACCCGCATGCTCATGACAAGCACCATTGCCTTAAAATGAAATTTAAATTCCTCGAGCTGAAAGGTTGTTCCACGTTATCTCCTTTTCAGAGTAACTGGAAAACACTGAGTCTCTAAACTGTGCTTCTTTGAGATTATAAAGCTATCTTTCTGTCTCTCTTCATTAGTAAACTAACTGAAGTTCTTCAACGTTCCTTCTTTCATCTGTCTCTCTCCCTTCTTTGACATCCATGTACTATTTCTTCCCAAACTTTCTCCAACCTCTCATTGACTAGCAAAACAGTGAATGCAAACCAACCAGCAGTGACTATTAAGATGATCAGTTCATGGAATCTCTGGTTTACTCTATGTTCACATATGGATCCCTGTTATGTGGTAACTTTTTTTAAAAAAATGACACATCTGGGCATGTTTTATTTTCTGTGGATTAATTCTCCTTACTTCTGTTTCACACACTGTATTCTGGGACTCTTCCCAACTCTTCCCACTGACATTCCATCTCCAAATTAACTAAGTAATGCTAAACATCAATTTTTCTTTCCACAAGCAGCCATCCAAATTTGTGGCAGGTATGAATTCCATGAATATGCTTCCCTTGCCCTAGATTCCGAGCACTGTTAGAGACCCAAATCCCAAGGCGAGGCTGAAAGCACCACATTCTCCTGGAAGCAATTACTCATTCACAGACACAGGAAGCATGTGAGGGTGTCCCAGTCAGTCAGACATTCTCCCAAGGTGATGCTTTGGCTCTCCTTTACGTTGCTTATGCCAGCTCACAGTCAGCACTTCCTACCTGCCCAGCCAGTATAAACAGTGCTATCCCGGGGGTCTGCCGACTTCAAGCCCCTCTCCATTTGCTGAAGCAGCTCTCGAATCTTATTGTTCAAGCGTTGTGAGAACTCAGGAGTCAGCTGTAGATATTAAAGGGAAAACAAGTATCAAAAAATATGGACCACTCAACTTCCTGGACTACAGGCTATCAACACAGGAGGTACTTCATTTCCACTTAGGCCACTTCTACTGCCTGGGAGAACTGGAAAATTATTTTATTCTTAATAACCACAAATTAATAAAACTTCAAAGTGCTATGACATTTTCCTACTCAAGGCAGGAAATATTTTGTAACTAAATGTCTTACATCATATTTATAATTAAATACTAAAGTAGACTGCTGATGAAAAACTGGCATGCAGTAATTTCCAATTAATAGGGAGCATCTGTTATTTAAGCCGATATTTTTTATTATAATAAAAGTCATCTTAATAAATTAAGCACAAGTCAGAAGATGTTTGCTATTTCCCAGCTATTCAAGCAGCAGCAATGTTAATTCCCTAAGGAATCACTCTCGTTGCTTTTGTTATTTAAAAAGGATAAACATTTATAAAAATCCATTTATAAAAAATGGACAAACAATTTTTAAAAACTGTAGAAGTAGCATAAGAAAGTCAAAATAAATTCATGGACATCAGGAGGCTCAGGCAGAGTGGCAAGAACATCAGACCTAGCATCACAAAACCCATGCCCAGCACAGTGCCTAGCAGAGGAGGGGCTTCATAAATACTGCCCAATGAATGAGGCTGGCTACATCTTTATCCACCACTAGCTGAGTGATCGCGCTCTACTTGTAAGTTCTTTATGCTTCAATTACCTTTATAAAGTCAGGATAGTAATACCTGCCCCACCAATTTCAAAAGGTACTTTGAGGATCAAGTGAGATCGTGTGCCTAAGGTCTCTCACATTCAGGGATGTAACTGTTGATATTTTTATAATTTTAAGCAGTCCAAAGGTCTATAACAAGTAATAATTTGGGTATGGATTTAAAAAGCACACGAAAGCTGGGGCTGTGGGGTAGTGATATCCATACGAAGGCCCACAGACGCTGGGCAAACTGTTGAGGTCCACAAAAGCACTCTTATTCATCCTAAAGGCAACTGAAAAATATTTTGCAAGTTCTGTATACACTGAATCATGAAGTGTCTTAAAAGGTCGCTTTACTGTATCTCTCCACAATTTTAGAAACCTGCTGTGATTCCCAGTATTTACAGAGCAGTAAAATTTCAAAACAATGTTGGGGAGTATTACATGGGCACAAACATTTCACTTCACCATGTAAGGATTATAAAAAGAAACCTAACTACTACCTGTTAACATCATAATCTCATTTTTTAAAAAGGGCATATTAACACTGGAACAAGAAAGAAGGCAGTATCAGAATTATTATAAAATATATTAAATTTTACTTCTGAAGAGCATCTCTGATAAGGCAAATCAGATTATCAACCATATCTGGATAATTTTTAAGTACCATGATCCCTTATTTCACACTCTGAAGAAGAAACCACATTGTTTGACTGACACTCTCCCATTATTTAACAATTTCTGCCAAGAGGTTAAGATTTCAACAAGTCTTGAAAATACATTTAATAAGGTAAAATATACTTCAATATTAATATAAAAGGTCTATAAATCTCAACTAGACAGAGGAGTACATCTATATGAGAACATGTCATCTTCTGTTCATAGATCATGTATAATTTACCATCTTGCCTGGCCTTACTTTGAGACCAAGAATGAGAACACCTCAGTCTCAGGAAAGGAAGTTACTTTCTATTTGTCACATAACTGCATTTAATAAAGGTGACCTGCCAGAGAACATTGATTGCTTTGGCAGACCACAAAATTATTCAAACTCTAGCAATAATTTGTAGTCTCCAAAAGCCCTTTTTTTCTGATAGATGCCAGAAAACAGACCAATTCCTTATTGAAATGTGTTAACAAATTAAGGAGGACAGATCTCCAGAGTCTGAATCTTGATGTTTAACATTAAACAATTTTAGAACTGGTATGCTAGTTTCTTTCTGGAATCTGTCCAAAACCATGTGTTAGGTGATAAATTACTTTATTATTTTTGGGTCAGAGTTTAAATGTGTGAATATCTTTTTTTCTCTCTTAAAATGGTTAAATTTGTAAAGGGATTTAATTTATAAAAAGCCTGAATAGTGAGCTATATTTTATTGAAGGCTTCTGTCATTAGGATAAATCCTCAAGCGTTCTCTTTGCCAAGTCTGCATGAAACAGCAGGTCTTCCTCCAACAAGACAGGACAAAAAATCAGGATCTGCAGAGGTAGACAGAACACAGATCCAAATGGCCAAAAGGAAGCCATTTGACGTCAAGATCATTAAAATAAGCTTTGCTTGTGTAGTTCAATTTTGGTCTTAAAAAAAAAAAAAAAATCAGGCGTGCCTGGGTGGCTCAGTCGGTTAAGCATCTGACTCTTGGTTTCAGCTCCGGTCATGATCTCCTGGTTGTGGATTGAGCCCCAAGTCGGGCTCTGCGCTCAGTGTGGAGTCTGCTTCAGATTCTCTCTCCCTCTCTAGCTCACTCTCTCTCAAATAAATAAATAAATAAAATCTAAAAAAAAAAAAAATCAGATTGACTCTAGATTCCTATGTATTTTGGTACCCTTCTATCCTACAACTCTTCTCCAGCTCTTTCATTCCTCCTACTTGTATTACTGATGTTAAATTAATCCATCATGACAAATGTTTCCAGGGAAGAACCAAAAGAGCCACAAAAGTTAACTTGGCAGATACGAAATCTCTCAGGCCATTATATCTCATGTGAAGCGCTTTTCGTATGGTGAGTTTAGAAGAAATAAACTGGTAGAATTAAAAAAAAATATGTGTGCACTTTAAAGAGATCACTCTTCCAACCTAACTCACTCTTATAATTTCTCAGCTAGGCATTCTTAAAAAGAATTGTATTCCCTCTTAATTACGTTCACTCAAAGAGGCATGAGAAAATTATGTTCACTCAAACAGGTCTGTGGGGTACCTTACATCCAGCTTCTCTTTTGCTCTGTGGCTTATAAGTAACATTAAGTTACTATCACCCCGCTCTCCATCCCCCAAGCTGTGGGGATGTCCTGCAAAGACTGGCAAAAGTAGAAAGAATTTCAGGCCTATGTCCCTAATTTTTCTCAGCACTTTGTTTAAAGATGTCTTTACCACACATCCCCGTTTACTCTCAGCATTGACCCCGCCCATGTTTGCATACAAATATAAAGCAACAACATGGCATATGTGACATACCACTAGGACTCCTCCCCTCTCTTTTTTTTTTTTAAGATTTTATTTTATTTATTTGACAGAGAGACAGTCAGAGAGGGAACACAAGCAGGGGGAGTGGGAGAAGGAGAAGCAGGCTTCCTGCGGAGCAGGGAGCCCGACGCGGGGGCTCGATCCTAGGACCCTGGGATCATGACCTGAGCCGAAGGCAGACGCTTAAGGACTGAGCCACCCAGGCGCCCCTCCTCCCCTCTCTTTAAAAAGCAAACCAAAATTGATCAAAAATGCCAAATCACATAGAAAAACGACATATTCGCCAATTTTTATAAATTACTAATGACTGAGGCTACTTCAATTATGAATATTAATAACAATGACTTCTTACAGAAGTAGAACTCAAATTACCTATTTTGACATGTATTTTATATATTTATCTTGAAATTACGTATATTTTTAAAGGGGGATGCTCATCCCTTTCCTTCAGGCAAAAACTGAGCTCCTTTCTCAACACTAGGGGCTGGAGGTAGGGATGCAGGCAGATGTATCCCAAACTCACCCTCCCGGCAGAATCAAAGTAGCCTTCGGCCAGGGATTTGTTAAAATCGGCATAAGGATTCGGGAAGGCCCTTTGAGCCATGACGCCGGAAGCGAGCCTGCAGAAGAGGGGAAAAAAAGAAACTAGGTTGAGACAGGGGCCTCGGCCGTGTTGCGAAGGCAGCGGCCAGAGCTCGCGCAACACCTTCCCTCCAGCTCCTGGGCCACTGCGTAGTCTAGGTGGTCTAAGCGGACCCAAGGCCCACGGCGGCACGGCTGCTAGGGCGCTGCACCTCCGCGAAAAGGCTGCCAGGGCCCAGCTCCAACCGCGATGAAGGGACCCCGTTTTGCACCCTTCGTGTCCACTCCTACGATTTGAAGCTGCGGCGGGTTCAGCGTCCTGAAGCCCGGCCAGGCCTCGGCCTCTCACCCTGCAGCCTCGGACACCAAGAGATGCGATGCTTTCACTGCCCACTTCCTGTCAGCCGGACCAATCAGAACCTTCGACACTCTGGAGGCCCGCCCTCTTCTCATTTAGAGTTTGTTAAAGAGACAGGAGGGTGATTTCTAAAGTATCACGCCTGGTGGTTTCTTTCCTGGGTAGCTGGAGTGGGGACGGAGCTTAGAGTAACGTGCAAATGTGCCCGATATTTCCTGCCTTTCTTCTCTTTTAACTTTTTTTATTTAAAAAAAATTAATTCAAGTCCAGATGAGTCATAAGAATTAGGAATTTATCTGGAGAAGAAAAAAGACTGCTTTGAGGCCTGAACGTATTCATATTTCTACTGTTCAGACTGAATAAAATGGGGAGGATAATGTCTCTACAGAGGCCTTCCAGACTTTTTCTTTCGTTTCTTAAAAAAAGAAACGAAAGAAAATAAAACACCACTGCCACCATTAGCAGCATCAAGAACAAAAAACAGGGTATATTGAAGAAATGGATAATGGGTCCTTTGGAGATAATTTATGATAATTGAACCTCCAAGGCACTAAAGAAGAGATGTGAATGCCCAAGGGATAAACTATCAAATGGCAATTGAAACTTCAGGGAAAATTCACAAAATCACAAATCACGGCTCTTAAGAATTTTGATTTGCTCATTAGTCTAAATGGGACTGTAATACAATATACTTAAGTCCTTAAAAAAAAATAAGTCCAACAGAGCAGGATATCCACAACATTGAAATTCAGTGTTTAACAGTCTCCATTATCTGAAAATCAGCCCTTTCATTTACACTTAAATCCTACCCGGGACACATTAGTCCCATTCTGTTGCTCAGAGGATTCCGGAATTCAGTTAAAAAGTCAGAGTCACTCTCTCTGCTCTTTCCCTTCCTCTTGTTTCAGTGAAGGACTTGAGCATCAAACATCCAGTTGGTGAAGCTCAATCCCTACTTCACCCCCACCTTGGCCCAAAATTGTCCCTTGTGGCTGCCATCTCAAAGTCTACTTCTGACCCCCTCCTGCCCAGTTTGTTGTTTTAACTGTTGTCTTCTAGGATATTAGTTAGCTCCTTCACCCAATTCATGAAGATTTAGTAGAGGCCCTCAGTGACTCTCAAATTGGTACCTTTCCTATTTTAATAGATGGATGTGTGGTAGAGCAACTCATAAGAAAGAAGAAGAAAAGGGGCGAGGGGCATTTTATCAATTAATTGTCTTTAATTATTAATGGCTTACTATCAGTTTCTCATTCACGGTCTTTATGAGCAATTAAAATCAGTGTGGTATTTAAGTAGATTAATGATTACTAGAGGGAGAGTGGCAACCTAAGACAGTAGATTGTGCTTGAGCAGAAATAAAAGAAGAGTGGGAAGGGGAAGATGGAAGGAGAGTAATGGACGAGTAAGATGGGAAGGAGGAAAGGAGCATCTTGTTCAGCTTGAAGGGCAGCCTCCCCAAAACCAAAGAAGTAAATGGAAAATGTAGTGAGATAGTGTAGGGATTCTTAATCTCAGCCCTGTTGATATTTGGAAAAGGATGCTTCTTTGTTGTGGGACCCTGTCCCGTTCATTGCAGTATGTTTAGCAGCATCCCTGGCCCCTGCACACCCAGGAGCAAGTAGCATCCACTCCCCAAGTGGTGACAACCGAAAATGTTTGCAGACATTGCCAAATACCAGATATCCCTGTGAGGGGTGGGACAACAAATTGCCCGTGGCTTGTGAACACTGAGATAGTGTAACCAAAAATGTTTAATAAGATTAAGCAACTGTGTAATTAATTCCAGTGTCCTCATTGAAGATTTGCCTTGCTAGAATAATGCACTGAAAGAAATTCATGAGGAACTTGGGGAGGGAAGTTTTGTTGTATGTGTGTCTGTGTTTGAATCTCAGGTGCAGAAATGAGGTAATTATACTCCTTGGTTTTTAGTATAACATTATCAGTGCATGCAAGACCCTATTCTATTTTAATTTTTCTCTTAATTCCCAGTTCCCACCCATTCTTCTCCTCCAGAAGGCAATCACCACAATATGTTTAGTTTGTATATCTTTTGGAAAATATATCATGGGTTTTGTAGGTATATACTTTTAATAAGTGGAATAGTGCTACAAATACTCAACCACTTGTGATTGAGATCTCTCTGTGTTGCTCCGCGTACCATTGGTTGTTTTAGATAATGTATTATATTTTCATAGTGCGTCTCCACCGCATTTTACTTATCCTTCCCCCTAGGGAAGGGCATTGTTTCTAACTTCCACATCACAAATAATACAGTCAGGTATATCCAGGCACATGTTCTCAGAAGGATCTGGATGTGAGTATTCCTGAGATAAATACTGCAGTCCGCCCTCATCTACGGTCTCGCTTTCTGCACTTTCAGTTTCCCGTGGTCAGCCTTGCTCTGGAAGCAGATGATCTTTCTTGTGGCGAATCGTCAGAAGGTCAATAGTAGCCTAACGCTACCTCACGATGCCTACTTCATACTCCTTGCCTCAACTCACCACGTTGGCATTTTGTCATCTCACATCATAACAAGAAGAGGAGGGGTGAGTACAGTAAAGCACAATACAGTACAGTACGATGTTTTGTCAGAGAGAAACCATATTCACATAACTTTTATTATATTTTTATAATTTCTCTATCATTACTTATTGTTGTTAATCTTTTACTGTGCTTAAGTTATAAATTAAACTTTATCACAAGTATGTATGCCTAGGGGAAAAAAACATAGTATATGTAGGATTTGGTGCTATCTGTGGTTTCAGGCATCCACCAGGGATCTTGGCACGTATTTTCCACAGATAATGGAGGACTATTATACCCAGAAGTAGATTACTGAATCCAAGGACATCTTATAGTTGGTTTCCCTAGTCCCTTTAGAATGCTTTCCAGAACTATTCGACTAGTTTATATTCCCTCCAGTAGTATCTAATAGTTTCTGTCATTCCCATGTCCTTTCCAACACTAGTTATTATCTAGTGTTGTAGTTTTTGCAATTCTAATGGACAATGTGGAAATTTCATTGATGGTTAGGTTTTCAGTATTTTTGTTGCTAAGGATGTTGAGCTTTGCTTCATACTTAGACATCTGGTCATTCTCTGAGATTTACTTGTTCATATCCTTTGCCAATTTTTCTATTGGGTATTGTATTATTTTCTTGTTGATTTGCAGGAGTTGTTTTTGTTTTTTTGTGGGGCGGGTAGGTTATTGTAGATACTAATCTTTTTTGGCTTTAGATGTTACAGAATCTCCTCTGGTCAGTTAGCTTTTTCAAGGGTATCCTTCACTGTACTATAATTCTTCATCTTAATGCAGTTAAACCCATCCAAGTTCGACATTGTGATTTGAGGATTTAGCTTCCTGTCCAGAAAGTCTTTATCCACTCTTAGGCTGCGAAGATGGCTTTCTGCATTTTATTTTATTATCTTTTTACTTTTTACATTTATGTCTTTAGCCTATCTGGAGTTCACTTTTGAATATAGCATGAGGCATGTATCCATACTTATTTTGGAGAGGGTCTAGAATTGTTTCGAAAGTTCAGATATCATCCAAGTATGAACAAGTTCTCTCTTTGTTAACCAGAAGAACCCATCGATTTGAATTAGTAGAAATCATGCAGAATTCATTTCTTTTGTTTGTTTTGTTTCATTTTGTTAGAGAAGCAACCCAAAGAATTTCTCCTTAGTTCTGGCTCAAAAGAAAAATGCTTGACCTTGACATACGTGTGTTAGTTTTCTAGGGCTGTCATAACAAAAGATTGGGTAGCTTAACTGACAGGATTTTATTGCCCCACAGTTCTGGAGGTTGGCTATCCAAGATAAAGGTGCTGGCGGGGTTGATTTCTTCTGAAGCCTCTCTCCTTAGCTTGCACATGGCTGTCTACTCCCTGTGTCTTCACATGGTCTCTGTGTGTCTGTTTCCTAATCTCTTCTTAGAAGGACACCAGTCATAAAGGATAAGTACCTACTCTAATGACCTCATATCACTTAATTACATCGTTAAAGAACCTATATCTCCAAGTACGGCCACATGCTGAGGTACGGGCAGTTAGGACCTCAACATATGAATTTGGGGTGGGGGAGGGGCACAATTCAGCCCATACGAGTACTATTTTCATCTGGGGCTATGATGGCTGAACACATTTGTGATTTATATAGTTTTGATTATTGATTTTTCAAGGCCCATTCCATTCCATAAATTTAAAATAATTTTTTTGGAAAAAATATAATAGTGTTCCTTTTCTTAAGTACCTTGTGTAAACTCTCAGGAAATAATCATTGTATTATTGACTTTGAAACAGAATACTTCTAGAACTCTGGTAAGGTCTATGTTAAACTGAGAAAATAGATATGGTCTGAGGGCTCTTCAGTTCTATTCTAAGACCTTAGTTTCAGAATATTATAATGTGTACTAGTTAGGGTGGAAGCTAAGTTACAAAGAAGCTCAAAAGCATAATCAGTGAAATAAATACATTTATTTTTCTCTTCATTTCATCCTATTGTTTTTTCCTCCCTCAGTGTGTTATCCTTGTCTGTAAGATCCATACTGGTCATGGCATAGCTGTATTCCAGCTTGTGGGAAAGTCAGGAAAACACAGGGGTGCACGTGCCTTTGGCCCCAGACCAGGGAGTGGAAACCATCACTTCCACATTATGCCCCTGATGAGGATTCAGTCACATTGCCACCTCTAGCTGTCCAGAAGCCTGCAAAATAAAGTCTTCTGCTGAGCTGCTGAGTGGCCTGCCACAATGAAAGAGGGAGGCCTACTTTTGGTGGCCAGTTAGTGGATCCAATGCATAATGGCAGTTCTAGTAACTGCTACTATGTGTCTGCTATCAAAGGGGCAACATGCTTACCGTTTCTGTGGTGTTCCCTTTGCCATGTGGACCTTCTAGCAACCAAGCCTTCTCCCTTTCCTCCCACAATTTCCCTAGAGCATTCTTGGTGACTAGGTCATTGACCTTTGGTAGAA